TAATTTACATGACACTATTACTGTTTGTATATCAAATGTCTCAGATTACAACTTTTCACATATTTTTAAAATGCTTTTACATATACAAAAGTTATTAATTTAAAGTATGCTTTTTATCGTGAGTAATTTATAATTATCTAATTTTTTGTGTTTAAAAGGTTTAATAGATAATGTCCGAATTGAACCTAAGTGAGAAAGTTTTAATCATCGAACTACCAACCCCTCCATTCTTTTTGAAATAGAGGAAGTACTTTAGTAATTATATTAAGCTCGCAACTAAACACTTGTACTAGATAAATTGCGTGTAAAAGCATAGGGGGGACGACAAATTTCAATTATGAAACGGGGTAAAAGCACATGCCTTTCGTGTACGACGTCCAATCAGATAAATTGCGTGTGCATATGATTGGTTTTGCACTTTCATCATCACCATTGTTAAAGTGGTCCTATGGCCAGTCGAATATCTATGTTCTACATTGGACTGGTGAAAGTGGTTCTATACTGGACTGGTCCTATCATAACTCCTTTTTCTTTTCCTTTTTTGTTTTGATAATCGTAATTTCACGGGGTCTTGCTACATCCCATCGGTATTCGAAAACTCTGTCTACTAAAATTTAGACAGATAACAAAAAAATTACCAAAATTAAACCTGAGACCTCGTAATTCTCAACCCATTTCATTCTCCACAAATCCACAACCTTGAGAAGAAATCACAAAGTTAGAGCCATGACCAGCACACACGAGGGAGAACCCCTGCTTAAAATTCTTTTTTCCAACTCCCACTAAATCAACAGTTCACAGAAGCTGATGCAAAGGAAAATACTGTACCCGACGGTTTTTCGATTTTTGAATGCTCTTTAATAGCTAACCAAAGACAATAGTTAAAATTAGTTAGACAAGCAATAACACAATTGGGATAATAGGTTACAAAAATTAGCAGTTTGTAGCTAATTCTGATATTGATAAAGCTACAAAGATATGTTACAACTGATGTATCAAACAATTTGCAAGGCGTTTTCTTCTATAAAAAACACAACCAAGGATAAAAGGTTGCACTTTCAGTAGTAGAGGCTTAGTAGGCGTTTGGACATAAGAATTGTAAAATTCGAAAAAATAGTGAAAAAAAATTTCAATTGAAAATAGTATTTGAAATTTAGAGATGTGTTTGATCATAAACTTCAATTTGGGTTGTTTTTAAAGTTTTGTGAGTGATTTGAGTGAAAATTTTGAAAAACAGCTTTTTCAAATTTTGAAAACTAGGATTGTGATGCTTGTATACGGTCAAAACTGATATCGGCCTTCGTACGTCTGATCGAAATGGAAACATAACGGACTGAAAAAAGTCTTCATAATACCGAGATGGAATCCGAAGAAGGCACAAACGAGCTTCAAGTTTCAGAGACAGGTCAAATACCGAGCTTGAAGTTATTATCGAGCTCGGGTCCGAATCGAACTATGATGAGATATGATTGAATCGAGCTTAAGGGCCAGAGGCCAACCAATACCGAGCCCAAGTCACTAGTCGGCATCAAGCTCAAACCCGCATCGAGCTCTAAAACTGAAAACCGACCAATACTGAGTCCGATCAAGATCGAGCTCATAGACAAGAGCCGTTATAGCCGCACTAAGGGAGAGAATCTCGGCGGGAATTAGGAAAAAACTGATTTATCATAGGTTCCCCACTATGTATTTTTAATTATATCTAAAGTAGGATCCCCCTACTATAAAAGGGATGGCTATATTTCTTTAAAGGACCAAGTTTTACCATATATTGTAACTCAGATATCATACACTCCCATATTGAAGAATTATCCTTTTTTAGCTTCATAAGATTGATTCATCTTGCTTAATCCATAAATCATCTTCATTTCAACATTGCTTATTCTTCATCCTTACAGTCAATATTCGATATTCTTATTTACTCTACGATTTGTGTTAAGTTATACCACATACCCTTAGAACTATGTACAAATTCAACTCTATTCGTTTTTCGGGTAAACAGTTTGGCGCCCACCTTTCGGCATCAAATAATAGTGATTATTTGATACGAATCTGCAAAAACACACCATTTTATGCTTTTTTCGGAAGTATCTTTGATTTCGGATTAGCAACAACGAGTTCTCAATTAAATGGCCTTACCTATCGACAACGAGGTTGGCCTTCAAGGTGAGAACAATAACTTGATGCCCAGGGCCGGAATGCCACTTGTCGAAGCCGTTGGAGCTCGAGGATCGATCAGATCCCGGGAGCACCACCAGTGTTGAAAGGGTTGGATTTCAAAAAATTCGTGCAAAAGCCTTTTCCCCTGAGTGCAGCTCCAAAACCGATCCCCAAAAAATTTCGCATGCCCGAGATTTCTAAATATAATAGGACGACCGACCCTAACGAACACGTCACCTCTTACACGTGTTCCATAAAGGGTAACGATTTAGAAGATGACGAAATTGAACCTGTGCTGTTGAAAAAATTAGGAGAGACCCTTTCGAAGTGAGCAATAATTTGGTATCATAACTTGCCACCAAATTCCATCGACTCATTCGCCATGTTAGAAGATTCTTTGGTAAAGGCACACGCAGGGGAAATAAAAGTCGCAACGAGGAAATCAGACCTTTTTAAAGTAAGACAAAGGGATAATGAAATATTGAGGGAGTTCGTGTCCCGATTTCAAATAGAACGCATGGAATTGCCACCAGTCACAGATGATTGGGTCGTTCAAGCTTTCGCCCAAGGGTTGAACGAGCGGAGTTCGATAGCATCATGTCATTTGAAACAAAGTTTGATCGAGTATCCGGCCGTGACCTGGGCAAATATGCACAATCGATATTAGTCGAAGATCAGGGTCGAGGACGATCAACTAAAAGCCCCCTCCAATTCAGTACATCCAAATATGTCGGTAGTTAAGAACCATAGGGACATCGATAGGGAATGAAGGTCGAATAGAGACCGATATCAACCATATACCGCAGATCGAAGGAACAATAGTTCAGGATGCAATTCTGCCTGGAACAATCGAAGAAGTGATCAAGGACAGAGTTCTCGGGGACTTATGAGCAAAAGTGGTTTCGACAAGTCTGTCGATCCCACAGAGGCACCTCAGTTATCGGAATATAACTTCAGCATCGACGCATCAGGCATTGTATCGGCAATCAGAGAGATCAAAGATACTAGGTGGCCCAGACCCATACAGACCGATCCTTCCCAAAGAAACCCAAATTTGATGTGCAAGTATCATGGCACGCTTGGTCACAAGACCGAGTATTGCAGACAATTAAGGGATGAGGTAGCCCGTCTATTCAACGAGGGCCACCTTCGAGAGTTCCTCAGCGACCGAGCCAAGAACCAGTTCAGAGAAAGAGACACCAACAGAAAAAGTGAACAGGAGGAACCCCAACATGTCATTCATATGATCGTCGGTGGGGTAGACATTCCACAGGGACCCATGTTCAAACACACTAAGGTATCAACCATTAGGGAAAAATGAACCCGAGACTATGTGCCCGAAGGCACTTTGTCATTCAACAACGAAGAAGCAGAAGACATTTCTCAGCCCCACAATGACGCTCTAGTAATTTCTATCTTATTAAGTAAAGTTCAAGTTAAGCGTGTTTTAGTGGATCCAGGTAGTTCGGCGAATATCATCCAATCGAGGGTCATGGAATAGCTCGGCCTACAGAATCAAATCGTACCCGCAACTCGGGTTTTAAACGGCTTCAGTATGGCCAGTGAAACAACTAAAGAGGAAATTATTCTGCCGGTGAACGTGGCTGGAACGATTCAAGACACCAAATTCCATGTAATCGAGGGTGACATGAGATACAATGCCTTGCTCGGAAGACCTTGGATCCACAATATGAGGGCAGTCCCTTCGACCCTCCACCAAGTGATGAAATTCCTAACGTCGGACAGTGTAAAAACAGTATACGGGGAACAACACGCAGCAAAGGAAATATTTGCGGTCGACGAGGTGACACCGATATCGACACTATCAACCTCAGAGAGGTCGAGCATCAAAGGAAAAGAGGAAGTCAAATAGCAATCACAGCCATCAGCCTCGACCGAATCGGGAAAGCGGGAGATAGAAGAAGAAGATGAGGACTTTCTGACCCCTCGAACTTTTATTGCTCCCGAAGATTCCGACGCTACCAAATCAACGGTCGAAGAGGTGGAACAGGTTATATTGATCGAATACCGGCCCGAGCGAAAGATATACCTGGAAACGGGATTAACCCCCGAACTCAGGAAGAGGCTTATTCAATTCCTTATTGATAACATAGATTATTTTGCTTGGTCCCATTTAGACATGACAGGGATCCCACCGGAGATAACGACACATCGGCTGAGCCTGGACCCTGGGTCAAACCGGTGAAGCAAACTAGGATTGTGATGCTGAAAAGCTACTTTTTTTAGGAGTAAAATATTTTCCCGTTTTTTACCAGCCAAAGCAACTGTCTTTTTATGCTCATTCAAATGCGATTTGGTTTAAAATTTCCATTTTGATACATTTTAACGTACCACTGGTGCGTGTGATTCAGCCGGTGAATGTTTTGGTTGGAAAATTGATCAAAAACTTTTTAGTGCATAATTTTTGAATGACTTGACTTTGACAGGAGGAGATTATGTTGTTTGGCGCATGTCATTTGTTTGGGGTTGGGGAGGGAGATTTTGAAGGAGGGTATTGTCTTGTTTGACTATGTTATTTGCTTCTGCCTTGTTACTATTTTGCATGTCCTTAATCTTTACCGAGTGTCATTGTGGGATATAGGGCTTCAGCAAGGAAGGCAGAACTATGCTTCCCAGGAAAGAACTATTTAAGAACACGCTAAGAAAGGCGGCATATGCATGGAAACGGATCATTGAACTTCGTCTTTCTGGTATGACTTTGTTTTACCTTTTAATCCTTATCATATGTTTTCTGACAACGACAAGTGAGGGTTGCTCAGTTGGTAAAAGACCTCCACCCATGACTGTTAGGTCCTGGTTCTGGGTTCGAGTCNCGATCTTCATTGGGTAACATCTTGTTTGGCTTTTGCTTTTGCCTATGTTAAATTCTTGCTACGCAACTGCTTATATTGAGTATATACATGCTTAATGCGCTTGACGATTTTGAAAAGAAACACTAATGTTAAAGTCGGTGCTCTTGTTTTTTCCCCTTTCTATTTTCAATTGCTTTAAGCCCTTGGATTGTGGCTCACCTGCCACCATTTTTCTCTGTTAGGGAATGTTTATACCGGCCATAAAAGGACAGGGCACAGATGAACAGCAGAAAAAGTGGTTGCCGTTGGCCTATAAGATGCAAATAATTGGGTGCTACGCTCAAACTGAACTTGGACATGGGTCCAATGTGCAAGGCCTTGAGACCACTGCCACATTTGATCCTCAAACAGATAAATTTGTCATTCATAGTCCTACATTGACGTCAAGCAAGGTGAGAATTATCCACTACTTGCTTTTCCGTGTTTTGTTTTTGCAAAACAACTCTCCATTTTTAACATTTTGAGGAGTGTGATGCTCAAAGAATATGATACTCTTTTATGCAAGATATACCTCCTATACAGCATGTTTTGCTTGTTTCAGTTCAATGTGCTATTCTGAAATGGCTGTATTTTTTATTTTATTTTTTAATTTGCTACTACCACCAAGATTGAAATGGCTGTATTAGCTTTATTATTTGCTGACCTATTACAATATGTTTATTTCATTAATAATTAGTGGATTTCTCTGATCTCTGGCTTTTTACAATTTAGAATAGTGGTGGCCTGGTGGATTGGGTAAAGTCTCTACCCATGTTGTTGTGTACACTCGTCTTATAACAAATGGTAAAGACTATGGGATTAATGGTAAGTCAATGATTCTCATGTCACAAGATGGTGTAGTGCATTTTAAATTTTCAGGAAAGTTGCACTTACATTTTATTGACTAATTCATATTTTAGGTTTTATTGTCCACAAATCTCTTCCAGGTGTTACTGTTGGAGACATTGGAATGAAATTTGGATAATGGATATTAAGACAAATCTCTTCCAACAAATGCTGATGAGGTTTGTTCTTTACCTTTTTCTGGTATTCAAGTTTCAGCTTCTCGTGTTCAAGTAGTCTTACAAGTAGCAAGTCTGGAAAGGTTTACCAGGAGCAAGAACAATAAGCTTTAACTGTTAGGAAACTTTGGAATTTCTGGCCTCTAATTAAGTGAAATGATAGTTACACTATTCAAAAACATTACTAAGCTGAATCCCGTTAATACATGGGCATAATAACTGTTGTTGCCGAAACTAAAAGTAATTCTCTTTTCTGTATCACTGATTTTGGTATCATAATTTTTTGCTCATTACCATACTATATTACGTGGTAGTTATTATATTTGCACCTAAAATTTCAGGGTTTCACAAGTTACCAGAGAAGGAAAATATGTCCAATCTGATGTTCCCCGACAACTTCTTTATGGGACCATGGTATATGTTCGGCAAACAATTGTATCAGATGCTTCAAATGCTTTGTCTCGGGCTGTGTGTATTGCAACCAGATACAGTGCCGTTCGTAGACAATTTGATTCTCAGAATGGTGGACAAGAAATTCAGGTAATCTTGGAAGCAAATCCTATCAGTAGTAAAGTAGATGATCATTTGTAATGGCTGGGTTCTGATCTTTCACTTATTGCATGCCATTTTATAGCATACTCATGTTGGTGGGGGCAATTAATTATACAAAAGAGGGGGACATTTTTGTTAATTTTGATTTTAAAATGTTCTTTGTGTTTCATGAAATGCATTTGCTTATTCAAAAGTGAAATCCATACCAAACAATTTCCCATACCAGTGCCACAAATGTCGGCAAGCACAAATCCAACATCTATATTAAGGGCAATCTCTAGTCTCATATTATTTGAGTGGAGAGTGAGTTTTGACGTCTGCATGTTAGTTTATAAAGGGGGTGGGTGGAAGGACTTGCACTTTTCTCTTTTCATTATCCCTGTAGAATTAGCCATTAATCCCTTGCAAAAATCCCCAATAACCAAACCTATGTTGGATTAAATGCCTGCCCAAAAGAGATTTGCCATGCTCAATTACCTCGGTGGTACCTTAAAAAAATTTAACTGGCAAGGG